CTGGTGTGCTTCTTCCATGTGGGCTTTGTTGCTTCTGAGCTAGATGGCCGCTTGTTTACCTTCAAGCCTTTAAGACCCCAGATGCTCTATCTTTTGATAGCCGGGCACCATCAGCTTTCTTCGCCACATTTGCTTTAATGCTTCTTCCCCACCACTACCGTGATGCCAATTCTACCTTACAAATCGGCTAGACCAGAGCATGTACACTGGTACAGATAAGAGCTTGAAATCCAGGAAATCCAGGACAGATAAACCTCAGGACCAATAATGAGAGTAATGATACCAGGAGAGTGAGGGGAAGGTGGGGGGAGAAAGGGGGAATCGATCAAAATGATCTATATATAACCCCCTCCCAGGGGGATGGACAACAGAAGAGTGGGTGAAGGGAGACAGAGGTTGGTGTTAAGACATGAAAAAAATTATAAATTGTCAAGGGCTCAAGTAGAAAGTTTTGAAAATGATGGCAACATATGTACAAGTGTGCTTGGCACAATGGATGTATGTAGATTGTGATAAGAGCTGTAAGAGCCCCCAATAAAGTGATTTAAAAAAAAAAAAGACTAAATACTATAGTCTGAGGCACAACCAAGTTGACAGCAGTGAGTGAGTGACTGGACAATTAAATGCAATTGTGTACTCTCGACTGGGGTCCTGGTCCAGTGAAAGGGCATTAGCAGGACAAATGGCAACATTTAACACAAGCCCATTTCTTTTTTTTTTTTTAATCATTTTATTAGGGGCTAACACAAGTCCATTTCTTTGGGTTGCAACCAATGGTGCAATGTTGAGTTCCAGCAGAGGTCCTTGCATTTAGTCCTGCTACTATAGTTACTACTTACTAGGCATTCAGAAACCTTTGCTGTGTCATCCTACTGACTTCTAGCTCTCGCAAACCAGGGGTTGTACCACCCCGTTAGAGGTTAAACCTCTGATTCAGAGATTAAGGGATTTTCCCAAGATTGTTCAGCTAGAGGGTGGTAAAGCAGTGAGATGGATTCATCTTTATGACTCAATGCATTTTAAGCACAGTGCTTCTTAGACAACTCGGTTTCCCCAAGAAACCACTGCCTGTTAAGTCACTCTGTCATGAAAAGGCTAGAACGAAATGCTACCTAGGGCCAGGGTTCGAGAACTTGATGCCGCTGCAGGGCTCAGCAGGTATGGTCATTGAACCCCATGTTTACTTTCGTAGACATTGTTGGTTACATGAGGTATTAAAAAGTTTAGAAACCAAAATCCAAACTCACTACCATCCACTCATAGCAACCCTATAGGTCAAGCTGAACCGTTTCGGAGGCTGTAACTCTATGAGTAGAAAGCCCCATCTTTCCCCCACAGAGCAGCTGGTGGTTTTGAATTGTGGACTTTGTGGATAGCAGCCCAATGTGTGACCAACTACGGCACCAGGCTCCATGTTTATAGCTTTCCTATTATTTGGTACCAATAAAAAAAAGATTCAGAATATCCCTTTTTCAAGATCTAGTCAGAGAAAGTAACAATTGCATCTGTATCATCCACAACAGAATTAGACCATGTGCATTATCTGCCATGTGTAGAATCTCAAGTATTTGATAATCATAGACTATTCTACCAACTAGATTTCGTGATTGAGTTTTCTTTCATTGTCTGTAGAATTTGGTTTGCCTGCCTGACACACGTCTCAACTCCGTGATTTATGTCCCTGAACAAATCAGACTTAATTTAAGAGCAAATCACTGGCAACAGGTATAATAATCTTGGCAGAACATTTAATTGATTGCTTTCTTCCTAAGACAGGATGCTGAAGCCATTTACCCTATAAGGATTAGTCTTGGCATTTAATTAATTGTCTTCCCCTAGAACTTACAAGTCTCATCAGTTTTAAATCACAAAGACATTGGTTTACTTTGCATTGAATCAAACTTTTAACCACTTTGCAGCCTGCTGGATTCTTTTTCCTCAATACAGGCTCCGTGGGGTCAGAGTGGCAACTGGTGGGGACGTTGAGCAGCTGAAAACCCTCCGCATCAATCTGGCAAGTGGGTGAGGGGGCGGCAAACACACATGGAGGGATTGTAAGGGCATGCTTTTTGTCCCTGTGTAGTTGGAGTACCAGCTTTCCTATTTGTGGGGGGCTTCAAAAGTTCATGGAAAGTGGAAGTAAAAGCTAATGAAACATTTTCCACGAACTCTCTGAAAAAGAAAACAAAAACGCCTTCCGTTCTAGTAAGGTTTAACACTGAGTGTCAAAAGTATCTTGTACACAGCTAGACACCATCTTCTTCACACCTGTCCACTTCGGCAATCGTAACGAAGATGACCTGATGCTCTTTCCGAAGGAGTGTCAGGAACAGCTAGCAAGAAGCCCAAGTGTGGCTCCCAGGGGCAGGGCATGCTCATGCTAAACTTGGGTTAGACGAGCATTCAATGTAAACTTCCCAGGTCTTTTAAGAGAGACTACGAAGAGCTGGAGGCCTGTGCCCTAGGCCTTTATAACCAAGTAGGTGCTTAGTCATCTTTCAGAATGCTGTAGGAAAAACGTGAGCCTCTCCTACTCAACGTCAAGTGAGACTTTATCATATATGCCGTTACAAATTCGTAACAAGAATGGTAATTAAAACGGCTTCCTTAAATTGGTACTGACTTGCAGGAAGCAGTGAGAATAAACAAATGAGAAGCAAAAAGGAAAAGCAAAAGAGGATTTGTGGAATTGGTCAATTCTGTTGAACTGAAACCCAGTTGAGTTAGCTTTTTACAATATAAAACAGATTAATATTGAAATGACACAAATTTGGAATCATTATCTTTATTTGTCACTCTTTATAGACGTTGGTCCACTTCCACATGAAAAGTAGGAATTAGCTACATCCATTTAATATTCGATAAAATGAAGTTGTACCACAAACCATATATACTTGTACGGGGGAGAAGTTACTGAAATAAAATATTTTATATTCATGCCCTAAAGAGTTGCTTTTTTATGCACAAGCAGCTTTCTCTCTACACAGCTAGTTTCTTCTTAGATCAATCTAGCTGTCTTTTTAATATCAACATCAGACCATACGGAACACCAAACTTTCTGAAGAGGTTTGAAAATTGCTACCCTCTATCGGAATACAGCTCCAGGAGTAAGCGAGTATGTAAGTATATCCATATTGTAGGGCCCCACTAGGTTGGAAATCCGGTCTCTTGTTTCAGAGACAGTTACATCAAATTAAGACATTTACAAATGGTTCATAGTATATTAACGGCCCAAATGTGATTTCCACGTATCTCCATGTTAAGGACTTTAAGCATCTTTAAGTTTCTCGAATAAATTCAGTGCAGTTTTTCAACATAAATAACACAAGCTAATCTAAACATTTTACATTTATTTCAGTGCATATTTCCAAATATCAAATGGAATGAAATTATACTATTAAATGGCTATATCTTAATATTCGAGCATCTTATGGAATCTATATCACACAATTTGATTCACATCAATAATTCACTCTAAAAAAAACAGTCACAGGCACACAAAGTTTTCTTTTTTATAAATTTAAAGTATACTACCTACTTTAAATCATGGATAGATTTATTTTAACAAAATGGCAAGCTTCCAACCCCCTTTTCTATGTCTGGCGTAAGGAAAGGTCAGTCCATTCGAATCTTCTGGTTTGTCATCCTATAAATGATGCTATCATAGCCAGGATCCATGTTCCAAATGTTGTAAGAGGTGATGATCACAGCCAAGGCCAAGGCGATCATGATCCAAAGGACCAGGTTGAAAACCACCGAATACTCAAAATTATACTTATAAGCAAGGTTATAGGGACTTGATGGGGCTTTCTACAATCAAGAAAAGGGAAAAACAATCAAGAGGGAAGAATGATAAAACAACAAATGACTCCAATCTGGCAGCTGTGCTTCACTTATCTAGCACTCACTCACTCACTCACTCACTCACTCACTCACTCACTCAGAAGTGCCATCAGTTATTGACAGGAGAAGCCAAGAAGAGGAACTTGCAAGGAGACGGACATAGCTGATGAAAGCATGAAATGGCTCAACTGCTTGAGAAAGTGTGGCAATGCATAAAAAGGTTGAATGTGGATGTATCTGGTGGCCCGGCAAGTTCACACCCTGGGGAAACGTGTCTGTGTGCCATGAGGCATGGATGGAAATGCCCATCAAAAGAGGCCCATACCATGGAAGCTATGCAGACCACCACTGCTGTCAAGATGGTTACGAGTCACTGTGACCCTGTATGGGGTTTCCGAAGCTATACATTTTTTAAAAGATCATTTTATTGGGGCTCCTACAGCTCTTATAACAATCCATACATCAATTGTATCAAGCATATTTATACATATGTTGCCATCATTTTCTATATATTTATATTGTTTGAGCTCCTCTTTTTACCCTTCCCTCCTCCCACCCTCATGACCCCTTGATAAATTGTAAATTCTTATTATTTTCATATATTACACCAACTGCTGTCTCCCTTCCCCCGCAGTTTCTTCCCCCTACCTACCTTCCCCCTACTTCCCTGGTATCGATACTCCTATTTCTGTGCCTGAGGGGTTTATCTGACCTGGATTCTGTGTGTCCTGAGCTGTTATCCATACCTGTGCAGATGCTCTGGTCTAGCCCACAGTGAAAGGCAGTACTGGGGTCATGATAGTGGGGGGTGAGGAAGCCTCAAGGAACCAGAGGAATGGTGTGTGTTTCATCAGTGCTGTACTTCACGCTGGTTGACTCATCCCTTCCTTATGATTCTTCTGTGAGGGGATGTCACAGCGAGGCTATAAATCTTGACTAGAGCAGACAGCTTCATCTTTCTCCTGCAGAGTAGCACCTGGTGGGTTTGAACTGCTGACCTCGTGGTTCGCAGTCCAACACTTACTAGACAGTGCCACCAGGTCTTAGAGGCCATGGAATACAGAGCAGTATAATGATGGTGCGGCAGCTATGTTCATTAATCTGCAGGATTCTTAAAAATATTAGTGTGCAAAGAACACAGAAGAAATAGAGTATGATTCCATTTATATGAAATTCAGATGCAGGAAAACCCAAGTATTCCTTATTTGTTTGTTTGTTTGTTTAACCAAATATCATTTATGGATAAATACAGATGTAATTAAAACTATAAAGAAATGCCAGGGAATGATGAACAAGAGATTCAGCACCACATTACCTCAGGATGGGGAGGGTAGTTAGGTAAGACGGGGGGTGGTGGGGCTGCAAAGCAACACGTGTTACCTTTCTTAAGCTATATGATGGGCAGGCAGTGCTACTGTTATTTTATTATTTAACTAGGACTAAATGTTACATAAGGATTCTTGGGAGTTACAACAGTTACGTGCTCTGTTGCCAACCTAGAGGCCAGAGGTTGGAACCCACCAGCCGCTCTGTGGGAGAAAGATGTGGCAGTCTGCTTTCATATAGATTACCGCCTTCGGAACCCTGTGGGGTAGTTCGACTCTGCCTACAGCGTTGCTGAGTCAGATTCTACTCAATGGCATACAACAAGTGGCCATCCAGCTGAGAAGCAGCAAAGCCCACATGGAAGAAGCACACCAGCCTGTGCGATCATGAGGTGCCGAAGGGATCAGGTATCGAGCATCAAAGAACAAAAATCACATCACTGTGAATGAGGGGGAGTGAAGAATGGGGACCCAAAGGCCATTTGTGGGCAACTGGACATCCCCTTACAGAAGGGGCTCAGGGAGGAGATGAGCTGGTCAGGGTGCAGTGCAGCAATGATGAAACATACAACTTTCCCCTAGTTCTTAAATGCTTCCTCCTGCCAACTATCATGATCCCAATTCTATTTTACAAATCCATCTGGACCAGAGGATGTACACTGGTACATATGGGAACTGGAAACACAGGGAATCCAGGACAGCTAAACACCTCAGGGCCAATAATGAGAGTAGCGATACCAGGAGGGTAAGGGGAAGGTGGGGGAGAGTTGGGGAACCAATCACAAGAATCTACATATAACCCCCTCCCTGGGGGACGGACAACAGAAAAGTGGGTGAAGGGAGATGTCGGACAGTGTAAGACATGACAAAATAGTAATTTATAAATTATCATGGGTTCATGAGGGAGAGGGAGCGGGGAGGGAGGGGGAAAATGAGGGCTCAAGTAGAAAGAAAATGTTTTGACAATGATGATGGCAACAAATGTACAAATGTGCTTGACACAATGTATGGATGGATGTATCGATTGTGATAAGAGTTGTACGAGCCCCCAATAAAATGATTTTAAAAAGAAAAAAAAGTTATGTACTTATGTATAATCCACTTAAAACCAAACAAAATGTACATATGTATATGCACACACATGTTTTTTTAACCAGGGCCTCAAATGAAAAACCCCAGGACAGGGCAGACTACTCATGTTGGTTTCTGAGACTGGAATTCGTTTACAAGAGTAGAAAGCCTGGTTTTTCTCCTTTGGAGTGGCTGGTGCTTTTGAACTCCTGACCATGCAGTTAACAGTTCAATGTGTAACCACTATACCACCAAAGTCCCTTGACCATGGCTTGTACATGCTTAAAAATCAAAGCAGAATCCATACCAGAAAAGTCAACGTAAAACCCAGCCAACGGCTCCCCTAAAGATTTACATCGGAAACCCTGTACAGGGTTGCTACGAATCGGAAACAACTCCATGGCAGTAGTGTTTTTTTGATTTTTGGCCTTTGTTTTGAAGCTTCGACTTTTTTTATCCCTAACTGGAAGTCTTGCATCATCTCCAGTTACAAAGCCAAAGAAGCGAGTACTACTGAGAGCATATACCCGGATCTAGTCACTTATGTCATGTGGCCAAGAGAGCGGTTTTCTTTCTTTCTTTGTTTTGAAAGCTGTGTTTCCCACATTTCCTGACTGCTTTTTCATATCCCCCATCCATGGGCGACGAGAGGATTTCAGTTACTTTTACAATCTTCATGCAGGATGGAAAACTGTACTCACCATCTGTTTTGCCTCAAGGATAGTCCTGGTCTTTCTCACCAGGGATGTGTCGAAAGACTTGATAGTCACCAACTCTACCACTGCGTTCCCACCATAGAGATTGTACATGTCATCTGCAAACTGAAAATGTACTCATGAACATGATTATGAATCACAACCATCCTAAGGTATTGGTAGAGCTTCAGCAGAGCCACAAGAACCACACACAGGTACCCATTGGCTTATGAAGGACCAAACTCTCAAAAGCAAACTCGGTGCCATCGAGTGAAGGCCAACCTATAGGACAGGGAGAGCTGCCCCTCTGAGTTTCCGGACTGCACTGGTTCACAGGAGTAGAAAGGCCCGCCTTTCTCTCTCAGAGTGACCGGAGGTTTCAAACTGCGGACCGCAACCCGGCATGTCATCACTGCAGCAGCATTAAAGGTCTATGTTGAGGCACTCAGAAAAGTGTCAAATTCAACATTCAAATGGTCAACATACTTTAAGAAGAGCATGAATTTCGGGGCGTAGGCATTGGGGAGAGGGCCACGGAACAATCTTGCTTAGTGGGTTCTGGTTGGTCACAAACACCTGCAAACACTTCGCCGATGGAGCCACATTGACAACCCAGCATTTATTATGTGTCCACTCGGCGTCCGGCCCTGGGCTAGGTGTTCTACTTGGAGTGTCTCATTGAGTTCTTGAAGAATCTCCATAAAATTGAATTTGAAAATGACTGCGAACAGGAACTACCATGCTTGCTGATGAGAATGTGGGTTAAAACCACCTTTACAGAAAGCAGTTTGGTCATATGGGCTGAAATGATTTCTACCTTGTAAATGACACTTTTAAGAAGGCTGTTTACAAAGGTTTGGTGGGTGATGAGCAGGGCATGGCCATGCAGCTGGATCAGGGACCAGCCTCTGCTTCTCCAGCCCCCTTAAGATGGAAGGGGAGGAACAGCAGGGAGGGCTGGGACGCTGGTGATCTTTAGTTCTCAGTCAGATGAAATAATTCCAGACGAAAACCTCACCAGCTGGGAGCTAAGACCAGCCAGGAGAAACAACTGCTGAAAAGCCCTCCAAACAAGGGTGAACGCTGGGTGCTCTAAACCTTTGTTCCACTTCCCTCTTAAAACCCACTCCATTAACAAACACGGAGCCTGGCAAAGACCGAGGGAGTCCAGTTCTCCTCGTAGTTGGCCAATCCAACCCAAACCAAACTCACGGCCCAAGTCAAGTCCAACTCATAGCGACCCTGGAGGACGGAGCAGAGCTGCCCCTGTGAGTGTCCACGATGGTAAATCTTGACAGGAGGAGAAAGCTTCCTCCTTCCCCAGAGCAGCTGCTGGTTTCGAGCTGGTCACCATGCGGTAAGCAGCCCAAGGCAGACCCCACAATGCTGCCCCCAGAGCTCCGGTGGGCGCATACAATAGCACTCCACAATGACTAGCCAGTTCCCAGTCTTCTGCCTCCACAGAAACCCAGGGTAAAGGATGCTGGTCCAGCCAGCAGAGAAAGCACTGCACAGCAACTCCACACACACCCTGACCAAGGCGCTCTACTTCCTCGCCATCCCTGCCAGCAGAACCTTCTGCCCAGCACAATGAATGCCACAAACGAATAACAGCACAAAAACACGGACAATTCAAAAGAAGAAAGGATGATGAAATTGATGAGAAATTCTCAAACTGACTGCCACGGAGTCGAGGGCGACTCGCAGTGAGCCTACCGGACAGGGTAGAATGGGTGCCCCTGTGAGTTTCCCACACTGGGACTCTTGACGGGAGTCGAAAGCCCTGTCTTTTCTCCCGAGCTCTGGATCGGCTGGTGGTTTCGAACTGCTGACCTTGAGGATCGCAGCCCAATGTGTAACCACTACGCCATTGTTCCATAGCTGATGAGCAATTAGCTACCTTAAAGAAAAAGAGTATCCCGGGTTTAAAAATCAGAATTCTATCTTTGAACAGTTATCAACTCACTCACCGCCATGGAGTCGATGGCGACTCATAGCAACTCGACAGGGCAGGTTAGACTGCTCTGTGGGGTTCCCGAGACTGTGACTCTCTATGGGACTCGAAAACGCCATCGTTCTCCCATGGAGCAGTTGGCGGTTAGCAGCCCAACACATGAACAGTTATAAAAACTCAAACTCATTGCCATTGAGTCGATGACGACTTATAGCAACCCTGAATCAGTTGTCATAGGACCTAGTAATTCCATTCCTAGTTCAAGACAAATAAAAAACACATGCTCACAAAAGAACGTATGCATGAATGTCCTTAGCAGCGCTATTCATAATAAGCCCCAAACAGGAAACAACCCCAAATGTTCATCTGATCAATGAAAGGCTGGTTGAACATAAATATAAAGGGACATCATTCAGCCATACAATGAAATAAAGTACTGATACATGCCACTACCGGGATGAACTTGAAAACATGCTAAATGAAAGAAACCAGACCAAAAAAGGCACTTATTGCACGATCCCACTTAAATGAATGTCCAGAATTGGGAAATCAAGAGATCAAAAGCAAATTAGTGGTTGTCAGGGGCTGGGACTGAGTGTGTGTGCATGGAACATGGGGGAGTGCTGAATGGGCACAGGGTTTCTTTGGGGGTGTCAAAGATGTTCTACAACTAGATTGCGATGGTTGCCTAACTCTGTAAATACACTAACAACCATCGAGTTCTACACTTTAACAGAGCAAAAAGTATGGCCTACGACTTATAAAGGTATTTTCATAGAGTGATATAATATGTATAACCTTTCTGGAGTGCCAAGAGCCTTAACAGTTCACATTCTCTTACCCAATAATCTCGTGAAAGTTTACCCTAAAGAAATAGTCAGAGCTGAAGGCAATGATTTATACAGGACTAAGATGGTGGCGTAGTGGTTGCGAGTTGGGCTGCGATCTGCAAGGTCAGCAGTTTGAAACCAAAAGCTGTTCCAAGGGAGAAAGATGGGGCTTTCTACTCCTGTAAAGAGTTACAGTCTCGGAAACTCACAGGGGCAGCTCTACCCTGTCCTATAGGGTCGCTATGAGTTGGCATCAACCCAATGGCAGCGAAGATGGTCACCACAGTAACATTCACAGTAGTAAAATATCGAAAAATGTCCAAATGGCAACAGGAGAAATGTGGTTAAAACTCTCAGCTGCTAACCTAAAGGTTGGCAGTTTCGATGACTAGCCATTCCACAGAAGAAAGTTGTGGCACCCGGCTTCTGAACAGATTCTCCCTGCCATCAAGTTGCTGCCAACTCATAGCGATGCTATAAGACAGAGCAGAACTGCCCTTGCGGGTTCCCGAGACTGTCGCCTTTTTTCTTGAGTAGAAAGCCTCGTCTTTCTTTGGCGGGGTGGCTTGAAGTTTCGAACTGCAGACCTTGCAGATTGCAGCCCAACGTTTAACCACTATGCCACGGGACAGTGATGCTCTGCATTCTAGGGTTACTATGAGTTGGAACTGATGCAACCAATTTGGGTCTTTTTTTTTGGGTGGTGGGGCGGGTGTTTGTAACCATTTATTAATATTTACTGGCTTTATTATTTAAAGAGCCCAATTAAGAGAAAATGTTATGGCACCAGAAAATAATCATACACATATCCCGCTCCTAAGTTAAACAAAACAAAGCAAAACATACGAAGCAATGATCTTGCCAGTTACTAATGATTAATGCCATCCGGTGCCCAGGGCCTGGGTTGGTAGTTGGCATCCAGTCAACGCTGATCCTTGGTGACCCCATGTGTGTAGAGTGGAATTGCTCCCAAGGCTTCATGGCTGAGACCTTTGGGAAGAAGATCCCAGACCTGTCTTCGGAGGTGCCTCTGAATGAGTTTGCTTAACCATGTGTGCCACCCAGGGACCCTCTGACAGCATTAGGAAGCTATATCCCACCCCTTTCCTGCCGTCCTTGGCCACCAAAAGACGGCGAGTAAGAAAGACTTCAACCAGCCACGTTTTCACAAAGCAGATTCTTCCACTGAGAGGCTCAAAGCGAAGTGGTCCCACCTACCACGCTGATAACTCACCTTTTGCAGAGATTCAACCAGGGCCCTAGAAGCATCTCTGAATTGTTCAGAGTCTTCTCCATAACGTTTTCCAACTTCATCCAAACCGGCCAGCTCCAGTGAATATAAATCAGGAGAATGATCCTTGGCTAGATGCTTATGTCGAGACAGCTTAAAGGGGGTGGGGGTGGGGGGTAGCCAATAAAGGAAGAAATAAAACACAGTCAGATGAAGCTTTATGCCTAACTCAACCAGGCTAACAAGCCCCTTCTGGCATGCCACAACACACGGACAGTATAAAACGGTGGCAAATGGAACAGGTTGAAATGGGAGTTTTGGATAAAGCAAATCCCAATACACATCTCATTTTGAGAAGCAGTTACAGAACTCCCCAAATATCTTTAAAACAAATTCACCATTTAAAAAACTCAAACATGGGCCAGGCAGTAAAAAGACACAGATGGTCGGACCGGTTTGATCTCAGGAGAGCCCGAGCCATTGGTGCCAAGATAACGGATCACCTACTCCCATGTCCTCCCAGGCCTCTGGCACACTGCCTCCTGGAACCAATGATTGTTGTTCGAGGCTGTCCGGCTGGGTCTGACTCCCAGTGACCAGTATGTGCAGAGGAGAACTGCTCCCTAGGGTTGGTAAGCCTGGTCTTTCCTAAGCTTGTCTTCCGAGGCACCTCTGGGTGAGTTTGAGCCACCAGCTTCTCAGCAAGTAGTCAACTTCTTAACTGCTGTACCACCAGGATACATGTCTACCTCCTAGAGCCGATACCCAACGGAAACTTTCGGGAAACAACTTCAGAAGATAGCCAACCAGTAAGCTTTTGTATCTGAGTCACAGGATGATTTAAAAATCAAAACCATTCACTGAAACAAAAACAAAACACCGTAGACAGATGTATGCTCTTCCTTGAGGACCTGGTGGACAGTGCAATTAGTCCAAATGGTTATTTCCATTTTAGAGCTAAAGAGACGGGAATTGAGTCTTAATGTCTGACAAGACGTGCACGGCCCCCTTAGGACTATAGCCAGGTATCCTTATTCCCAGGGTTGCATTCTTGGGAGGAGAGAGTCTCTCCCTCATACAGGTAAAAATGCCAACTCATCTGCATTCAGGATTTTCAGCAATAATGCTAATTTGTCAATTTTCATGGGATCATAAACCGCAATCAAATTTTTCAGCTGGTTTCCTGATCGCTCAAGGAGTCTCTAGAAATGTCTTCTGGAAGCAAAATAAATGGGACTGAAAAACTCAGACAGCCTACTTACCAGGCTCGAAATATCATGGAGCACTTGCAGTTCCGAAAGAAAGAGCAGGTCGACCTTTAGAGAGCCAAAAGATTGCAAATTATGTAACAGAGATTCTTATCTGTCATTTAATAAGCAAGGCTCTGGATATTACAAATGGGAATCACATCAAGGAAAATTTTAGGGCAACTGCCCTCCATTTGGTAGATTCGTTTCCAATGAAAATGTTTATGACACCCTGTTGATCAGCAAAAATGGTTAGTCTCCATTCCCTCACGTTTATTTGACCTCAATTGCTACGCTTCTGAGAAAACGATGACAAAGCAGCCCAACCCTACCGTGGTTTCCCCTCGGGCCTTTCGGAGCACCTGGCACAGTGCAAGACACCCTGCCAGCTCCTTCCCTGTCCAGGAACACTTTGCCCAGCGGAGACTAGCAGGTGGTGGTCCTGATCATCCAGAGTAGAAAACAGAGGCGAGGCGGCCAGCCCCAAAGGTGAGTTAGGAGTGGGAGCGGACCCATGATGAAGCAGAAGGACCCGAGTCCACAGCAGGGCTGGTACGGTATTGTTAAGAGTGATTAGAAAAATGTGGCCAAACAGTAGCAAGCAGCAGTCACCCTAGCTCCCACGTTCCAGCTCCAGCAGCCACTGGTTTCAGACTTGTCTAGACTAATACAGGGCGACCCTTGTGTGACAGTAACACTGTTTATGACTGCTCAACTCACAGGAGAGTCAGGGTTTCAGAAGACAACTACTCCAAAGTAAATTCACAGAAACTTTCATTTTCTAAAACGTCCAGGTTGCACTGGTCAGGAGCCGAAGCAGTCACTTAGTCACTCAAGAGCTGCCCCACTTACCTCGTTGTTCCTACTCAAGGAATTGAGAGGGAGTGAATTGAGAACAGAGTTTTCTTGGAATAGACGATTCCGGAGCTGGCGTAACGTCACTGAAAGGTCTTCAAACACCGAGTTTGCCTTCCCCACCATGTACACTCTCTGCAAGAAGAACCCACACCTCACATGAACACACACCTTCTACAGATGTATGCTAACACCCGTTGGGGTCTGACAGCGATTTTCCTAACGTTAGTTTTAAACTTTTATTGGATAATGAACATATCTGTTTTAAAGCACCTTCAGTAAAACCATTATCACTTACTTCCTCACTAGGAGCCAGCTGCAGAACCACAGGCGTTTCTTCAGAAAATAAAGAGTGAATGGAATTTGCCACGCTGTCAAGACTAAAAGGAACTGCCTGAAATGGGAAAGTAAGACCTTAGTTGTTGTCTGAACCAGAGAAGGAAGAAAATCATTCAGGTGGGACTTTAACTTAAAAAAAAAGGGGGGGGGACTTTCAAAAGCAGCATTTTCTAAGTAAATTCAAAAAATTTAAATTATTTCCAAACAGAGAGGATTTTTCTGGGCATAGAAAACTAAACAGCCCCATAGGGGGCCAACAATGGTTATCCGCTGGGCTGCTAACACAAGATGAGCAATTCAAAATCACCAGCTACTCCCAGGGAGAAAGATGAGGCTTTCTACTCCTGCACGTATTTTCAGTCTCAGAAATCCACAGGGGCAGTTCCACCCTGCCCCGTAGTGTCACTATGAGTTGGAATTAACTTGAGGGCAGGGAGTTTTTTGAGGGGGCATAAGCTCCCATCTCCTTGCACACACTCAGGACACACAGTCTACCACAGATTGAGTTTTAAGCAATACATCTGATTTCAATACTGAGTAAATGTGCTACGCTGCATGTGTACCCCACAATAAAGTATCAACCTGCCTGCCTTTAAGAGGTGGCCATACAATTAGTAGTTACCTAGGGCTGGTGGTAGGGGGCGACAGGACAGAAATATTTAAGGGGCACTGAGTTTCTGTTAAGGGTGACTATAAACAATTTGGGGAACAAACAGTGGCTTCATATGATGGTGAAGGTAAAAATGGTCGAAATGGCCAATGTTCTGTTCTATGTATTTCACTGCAGTAACATTTTTAAAAAGATAAAAAAGAGGTTATATAGAAGAGTTTGAAGTCTTAATGAAAATTTTTTAAATGGTGAATTAGGTGAAGGTTTATAGAGCAGGTATCCGTTTTACATCCAACAATTCATACATTTTGTGTCAACTCACCCACTGCAATTTCCTCAAGGAACCATCACTTACCCCATTTCCTCCCCTTGTTTCCGGTTTCCTTTCGTTCCTAACCCTTTGAACTTTGTCCTTGGGGAAATGCTGCCCTTTTGTTTTGAATGGCTGATTATCTTACCACAGGGGAGAGTTCAGTTCAAGACCCGAAGGGTGACTAAGGGGCATAGTTTTGGGGGCCCCACCTGTCTCTATCTGACAAGTAAGCTTGGTCTCTTTTATGACTGAGCTTTGCTCCGCATTTTCCTCCCATTCTATTCAGGCCCTTCTAATGTGATCCTTCTCAGAGCCATTGATGTGGTATTAACATTTAACTGTAAAAGAAACACACCTTATTTTCCTTTCATTCTCACCCCCCTCCCCGCCTAATTTTTCATTCCACATCAAAAAAAATGTTTGTTAGCAGGATTTAGCTAACATTTAGCATTTGTCTTCAGACAGACTGCAGCCTCTTAGACAAGATGTAGCTTTGCCTTACATTGTTTTAAAAATGAGTTAGGGTAATGGTTCCCCTGAAAAAGTAATTTTATCCCTGGCATTTTATTATATGATTACAAGCAAGATAGTAGTATTTTCTTTTCATGGAGATTTCTTACAAAATTTTCTTTTTACCATCCCCGCCCCTCGCCTTACTACTTACAGGTTCATGTTTATAAGTAGCAAATTAGTACCAATGTAATTATATAAATGTATAATATGGAATCAATGGACAATATAAATCCTACTGATGAAATCCCGACATAAAACTAGGGTTATCAATTTGAGACTATTGTTAAACAAAAGAATTGTTTACCTTTTATTCAAGCTACATATTAATAAATCTTTCCAAACTTCTCTTAAAATAAGTTACTGAGTAACTGAAGAGAAGCTAGAACCTGAACTTGCAAAGCAGACTTAGCCAACTTCCTTTCATCAGCTGAAAAGCTTTCCTTTATGTTCGTCCCAGGCTTTGCAAGAAATACACGAACACGTAACGCAAACCCCCAGCATAATTGCCCCTAGTGAGTTGAAGAAAAACGGGTAGGATATCCCCAGAAATCCACGTGGAGAAGACTGAGAATCAAACAAAAGATGAGATGACTGTGAAGGCAAAGAAAAAAGATGATCAACTACAAGGCTCCAAGGTATCTGGTACTGTTAATGCCTCAGCCTTTTGGAGGTTCTGTGGAAAAAATCAGTTTGCTTCTCAGCTTTTTCTACCCGCCTGTTGGCACGAACTCTCCTCCTTCCTCCTACTATATATGCATTCTATCTTTTTTTCCACAAACAAACCAACCCCCAAAATATTGGTGACATCATGTCTGTTTATTCCTAAATAGTTTGGTATGTATTTAGGAGTAATGGCCTCAATTAAAAAATTATTTAAACTGTCTTGGGGCAAATAACTTGAAACCTACAGGAATGTTGCATTTAACAAGTGGCCATATACATTTTACCCAGATTCATCTGCACCAGTTGCTTTAACATTCTGTTATGCTATAACATAACAGGTCCAGGGCCCTGGCCATTGTGCCACTGTTGTAGTCCCAGGCCCCAGGACGGTGCCTGCCATGAGCAGATACCGAATACACACTTGTGGGTGTGTTAATTGACATACTGAGGCCACCAATCCCACACCCGAGTTAGACCTGGATCTGCCAGCTGGCCGGCAGCCTGTCAAACATCGCAACAGCAAAGCCAGCTGGGTCTCTGTGGCACTGTGCGCACTGCTGTGCACCCGTTTGACTGTTATTACAGGGTATTAAATGCTAAAACCGAATGGCCAAACAACTCTGGTTAAAAGGAAAGATATCATTAGGGATTTTGAGAAATATTTTGACTCTATAGGAATGGAATCCTTCTAAAAATGGTGGAAGGCTAGAGTTCCTTTCAGTTGGGTTAGCAGCTCAATGTGTAACCACTATGCCACCGGGGCTTAGGGAAAAAAACGAAGCACTAAAAGAGAATGTTATATTGTCTCCTTCCCACCTGACTGTTCTCTCCTCTTTGCACATACAAAGGCCACTGCAGGCTCTTTTGCTGGCTCACTCTTTTCTTCCCAGGCCTATCAGTCAATAGGTGAGCTGCAGTGAGAGGCCATGCTTCCACATTAAGCACATGGCAGTGCCAGGTCAAATGTCACACAAATATTTTTACATGCACAACTAAAGTCAAAAGCAAGACAGGAATACACTTAAGTGCCAAATCTTACTCTCACTGCCATTGAGTAGATTCTCACTCATAGGGACCCCATAAGACCAGGTGGAACTGCCTCTGTGGGTTTCCCAGGCTGTAACTCTTTACAGGACTAGAACGCCTAGCCTTTTTCCCTCAGAGCAGCCAGTGGTTTCAAAATGCTGACCTTGTGGTTAGCAGCCCAATTTAAAAAAAATCATTTTATTGGGGGCTCGTACAACTTTTATGACAATCCATCCATCCATCCACTGTGTCAAGCACATTTGTGCATTTGTTGCCATCATCATTTTCAAAACATTTGCTTTCAAATGTGGCGAAGACAGCTGATGGTGCCTGGCTATCAAAAAGTATAGCGCCTGGGGTCTTAAAGGCTTGATGGTAATCAAGCGGCCATCAAGCTCAGAAGCAACAAAGCCCACATGGAAGAAGCACACCAGCCTATGCAATCACGAGGTGTCGAAGGGATCAGGTGTAAGGCATAATCAGAACAAAAAATCTTACCATAGTGAATGATGGGGGGAGTGCGGAGTGGAGACCTAAAGCCCATTAGTAGGCCACTGGAGATCCCCTTGCAGAGGGGTCTCAGGGAGGAGATGAGCCAGTCAGGGTGCGATGTAGCAACGATGAGAAATACAACTCTCCTCTAGTTCCTAAATGTTTCCTCCCCACTCCCACTACCATGACTCGAATTCGACTTTGCAAGTCTGGCTAAACCAGAGGATGTACACTGGTACAGATAGGAACTGAAAATACAGGGAATCCAGGGCGGATGAGCCCTACAGGACCAGTGGTGTGAGTGGCGAAACAGGGAGGGTAAAGGGAGAATGGGTAGGAAAGAGGGAACCGATTACAAGGAACTATATGTGACCTCCTCCCTGGGGGACAGACAACCGAAAAGTGGGTGAAGGGAGATGTCGGACAGAAAAGATATGACAAAATACCCATTTATAAACTATCAAGGGCTCATGAGGGAGGGGGGAGCGGGGAGGGAGGGGAAAAATGAGGACCTAATGTCGGGGGTTTAGGTGGAGAGAAAATGTTTTGAGAAATGATGTACAAATGCGCTTTACACAATTGATGTGTGTATGGATTGCGATAACAGTTGTATGAGCCCCTAATAAAATGTTTTAAAAAAAAACATTTGCTTTCTACTTGAGCCCTTGGCCAATTCTTAACCTCTGTGCCATCAGGGAACCTTTAAGTGTCAGATAGGAGTAGCAAACTCGAAAAGCTGGAGACGGTGAGCAGGTGCTACAGAAAACCAACTGGTGTCTTTGTTTTTTTTTCTCAGAGAAAGATGGGGTTTTGTACTTCCATAGAGTTAATCTCAGAAATGCACAGGGACAGTTATACCCTGTCCAGTTGGCTCGCTATGAGTTGACACCGACTCAATGGCAGTGACTCTTCTGAAAATGGGGCAATTTCTCTGCCTCTTATCTGATAAAAATCTCTCAACCATAGGGAACAGGCAAGCCTCAGAAGATTTACAACCATCAAGAACATTTTAAAAAGAAATTTCACATATCCACCCATGCGTATAAAAAAAGGCAAGTGTTCTTAGAAAGCATTTCAAGAATGATAAAGAACCAGAAAAAATGATAAAGGCATCCCCTCCGTTTTTAAAAAAGAATAAACACTCACATTCTCCAGTGGGTATGAGATGACACTACTGGGTGGGAGAGCCAGCTTGTCCACCCCCTTCACCAGCACCATCACAGTCGCTCGAGGCCGATGGAATAGGTCACCCACAGCCAGTCCTGGCCAGGAGAGGTCCTACACATTGAAGCACATCAAACAGGGCTGAAGTTCCCTCCAATAACACCCACCACGCAGAGTTCAAAGGGTCTGGGGCAAGGCTGGTAAGGCGAATGCATAAAACCAGAATTTTATGTTCTCGTCATGATCCCATCAACAGTGCTAAATCTCCCTACTCAGTTTTTGTAATGGTCTACGGATCTGAAACACCAAAGTCTAATAGTAAGTCATCACAGCCTTTTTTGGGGGGAGCGGGGCAAGGGGGAGGGGGAAGCAAGTCAGCAAATGAAATGTCAGCATTTTTCAGGTCCCAAGTTATAGAACCTCTCCTCTTTACAGAACCATGAACATTTTCTTCCCACTTTCTCTCCTTTATCTACAGCCTCCATTTGATCTTTCCGAGTGAAGTAGCAAGGTTGTCATTAAAAAATTCTCTGTAGACTAAGACACATACACACCCAACAATGAAAAACAAAATTCCGGCTGAAAATAACTCCCATTGATGTGCTAATCATTATTTCTCATGGTGACTTCAAAAGCCATTTGTAGTCAAAGTCCAGTTTATAAAGAATTATAAGTGCAAATTTCATCCTTCAATGTAAACAACCCATTGTGTTCAACTCTGCCCAGTGGCTCCTTCGGTCCCAGCAGCAGAGCAGCTGCCATGCAGTTTCTAGTTCCCAGGAGCCTCGGGATCTAGGAGGAAAGCGGTTTCGTGACTAAGGCAAGAACCTCACTAGTAGGAAGGGGGATGTGGGAGGAGAGCAAGCTGCGCATCCTTCCTTCAGAGCTCCCACACAGACCCACGATGTGGCCCTCCCCTCCTAGCACTGTGAGCAGTCAGTTACAGAAGAATTCTAGCAAACCCAGTTCGAAGCGTCCTGCACAGCCACCCACCACACCACTCGAACTTCAGGTGAAACGCATACACATTTTCCCATCTATAATGAAGCTTGCATCTGTATGAAACAAACTAAACAAACAAACTACACATTTTGTTTGTTTGAGTCATCACAAAGATACATTTTCTTTACTTCATTTCCATGGATAAACCATGACATAATGACTTATAATTATTTGGTTTCAGAAGCCAACCTGGATGCCCTTTATCCCAAATCTCCCTAATTTCCCAGTGAGCTTTTGGGCTTTGGGACTCTGCACCAAATGCACCAGGCTTGCTTTCTTGAGCTACTGGAAGAAATCAACAAAAATGTTCCGAGAAGAAGCTCCCAATAGGCATCTATTTTATAACTACACGTACTTCTTTCACGGAGAAACCCATAGACAAGGCAGCCACATCTGGGATCCGCTCTCCTGGTAGAGGCCAGTTTCCGTCGCGGAAAACAACAGTCCCTGGTGATCGCAATATACTAAACTCGTTTCCCCAAACACCTGGGAAGAAAAGAGAGCAGTGAGTGAACCGGCCACATCAGGAATCTTCTGCATCCACCCTGAAATAATTAAATACATATATGAGGAATTGCACAACTCTTTTAATATATCTAAGCCACTGTATTGTATATTATAGGCATCATGTGTCTGCAAAGTTGTTAAAGTATAATACAAAAGAGGGCTTCAAAAAGTTCAAGGGTGGGGAGAGATAAGAAAAAGATCACGGAATTTCCCCACCAACTTACTGAAGCCCTCTTGGGCACTTTCCCCATTCTCAGTTGCTTCAATAGGCTCAATTATGATTGGGCAAACTGCGGCATAGCTTCAGCAGCAGCACCCTCTATGTCAAAGTATCACTCTGAGAAATGGCACCTGCCAAAGGCCCTGGGATGAGGCCCGCTCTCCCAAGGAGCTAGGCAGCTTTCTTGAGATGGCCCTCACACAGGGACAGGCAGGAAGTAACTGGGCAGGAATTAGAAACCAATGGCATTTCTCCAGAACGGAACAACAAAACCATCATCTAACACTGACTAAAAAAAGAAAAGAGAAGAAACTTGAGATGTCAATCATTTCTACCCTCAACCTTTTTTTCAAAGTGCACGTTTTCTTTCCCAGAGAGAAATTCATCAACGCCTTCCTACTTCAGTGTAGAACTCAAGCAGGTGCCAGTCACTGTATCTTGGCACAGCTGGTGAACCCCACAAAGACAACTGTGGGGCACAGACAATGTCATGGAAACGGAACAGTGAAACGGGGTGAGCTGGAACTCGAAGGGATGACTTCATTTCCCCAAATTTCGCAAGTTCGCTGCCTTTGTCAGGGCACCCACACCACCTTTCTCTCTCGCTCTGTTTAGTGGAAAACATTGGAGTTTTCCTACACAGACAGGTTCTGGCTTTCGCAAGTTTGACGGTATTTCCAGCTGACATACCAGGGAGGTGAGAAGAGGCATTGTGCAGTAACAAGGTCAGCTCCTCAGGGGCACAGGGTTTGGGAATAAATGCTGAAGGATGACAACCAAGAGACGATTTTGTAAGCCTGTCGAGATGGTGCATGGGGTATCTTGCTCCTTTACTCATAATTGGCTAAAACCAGTTGTTTCCCCCAAAAGAGTGATACTACACCCCTGGGGGGGTGCTGGTGCGATCCAGGAGGGCTGTAAAAGCAGATACCCATCCTTTATCTTGGATTATAGGCTATACTACAAAAGTTTTTAATTGCTTGGGGGGGGGGGCGAGGGGGTGGCACTGAGGTGTTTTTTGTTTGTTTGTTTTCTCCTGAAAAGGGGGCAGTGTGCCAAATCCGTTTGGGAGGCTCTGGTCTAAAGCAATCATGTCTAGTGCACATGGAGACAAACAGCTAATGAGACAGTTTGGGTGCCTATAGAGGGATTAGCTCAAATCCAAAACTACACTCGGATGGGTAAATGTGACTTTAACAAAGTGTTGTGGGTTTTCTCCACATTGAAGGAAAACACCATGCACAGATCACAAGAATCACATTGGAAGCAACAGTAAATGTTCTGGTGTTGAAGTATTGACAGTAAATAAAAGGCCTCAGGATGGTGATGATACAACATGAAGAGTTATGAGTTTCAATTCAGTGCAGGCAGCACAGCAGGCACTTCCAAATTGCTCTAGCCAAGGGCAGACAAAAAAAACCCCCACAGAATGAAACAGTCATTTATGGACATGCTGTCAGGAGAGACCAGTCCCTGGAGAAGGACACATGCTTGGTAAAATGGAGAGGCAGTGAAAAAACGGAAAGCCCTTGACAAGACGGCTCGGCGCAGTGGCTGAAACAATGGCCTGAAACATAGGAACAATAGTGAGGATGGCACAGGACTGAGTGGTGTTTTGTTCTGTGGTCCATAGATAGGGTCACTATGGCACCATGGGCCGGAACTGCCTCAATGCCACCTACCAACAACAAAGACAAAGTATTGCAAACTCTAACGAATATGGAGTAGCAAGCGACTTTAACCAAGTGTCCCTGTTATTCTCCTGACCTTTCGAAGTACTATATGCATTTCAGAGCCATACTTTGTCTTGGAAATACCTCATTTTGAAATCTTGCCCTACTTATTCAACCTCAGCGAAGCTATACTAAATCGGAGTGGAGAAAATCAAAGACACATGAAAATTAGCTCACAGTGACTAATGGACAACGAAAACCACAACCTCCAGGACCCTGAGACTAGAGGAACTAGGTGGTGCCCGACAACTACTACCTAACTGCTTTGAAAGAGATTCCAATCCAAGGTCCTGGAAAGAACAGGAGAAAAATGTGCACTGATCATTAAAAAAGGTCAAGTTTAATGGGCTGATTGAGACAAGTGGAACTCCTCCCACTGTGGCCCTCAGTTACCCTTCAAGCCTGGAACTGAACTGTGGCTCAACTTCCGGCCAAACAGCCAGCTCTATAAGACAAACAGCAGTAACATTGGGGAGACACATGTTCCTTAGAACAATCAACCACTGGAGACCAAAAGGGTGCTTTAGCATCTGCCCGGTGCTAATGCTCAGAAGTTCCTGCTAGCACAATGGTTAAGCACTTAACTACAAACTGAAAGGTTGGCAGTTCAAACCCAGAAGCCAGAAGAGGATAGTACTGGAGGCTGAAGGGAAATGGTAAACAGGAAGTGGGAAGAGTGCTGTGACATTGTGGGGATTGCCAAATGGAAAACCCATTTGCTCTGTGAATGTTCCCCCACATCACAAGAAAATGACAACTTCCATGCCTGTGCGGCAGTTCTTCAAGGGGCTACGTTTTCAGAAGACCGCAAGAGTCAGGGATTCCTATACTCAGAAAGGCCATCTTGTCCAAACAGCTGCTGAACGCGTCCTGGCTACTTGGCAGAAAGCCACACATTCTCTACCTGAACACAACTCAATTCACAGACCATGTTTGCCAGCAATCAGCTCCATTGTCCCAACATTGTCGTCCCTTGAGAAGCTTTTCCTAGTACTGAGCTGAAATCAACTTCCCAACTCCTTTAAGCTTCCTATTCTGTCACTTCCCCACTCAGTCTCACCAGACAACCTCCTCTCTGGCTTCACAGAGAAAACAGGATCCTCCCAGCTATCTGCTCCTTCCCCACCTCAAATGCCTCTGCACAGGCATCTATCCTGATCTCCTTTCTCTCGGCAGTCTAAGGTCAGCTTCTTCAGGGTCACTCAGTATTCATTAAGCCAAGATTCTGGGGCAGACAATATGTGAATAGTTAGGTGGCTGCTTGGCAGTAGGCATAACATGACCTCTCTCTAGAATACAAGCTCCAAGAAGGCAAGGGCTCAGTTGGTTTTGTCATACCATATCTAACACATGCTAAAACAAGCACACCTGGGTGTGAGACAATGCCCACCCAGAGGCCATATAGGACAGACTAGCACCGCCCTATAAGCTTTCCAAGGCTGTCAATTTTTATGGGAGCAGAGGTCAGCTGGTGGGGTCACACCACTCACCTTTCAGTTAACATCTGAGTGCTTAACCTCTGTACCACTATGGCCCCACTTAACACGTTAAAAACAAAAACCAAAAAAACCAAATCCAACCACCACAAAATATCAAACTCACTGTCGATTCTGACTTATTAGGGACCTTGTAAGGTCAGGGTAGAACTGCTCCTGTGGATTTCCTAGATTGAACCCTTTACAGGAGTAGAAAGCCTCATTTTCTACCCCCCCCCCCCAGAGGCAGGCAGTTTCAAACCACTCAATTAGCAGTTCAATGCCTAAGCAGCCCAATGCATAAACCTAATATATAGGTGGCTCAATAAAGACTTGTTTAATAAAATCACGTTACATTTATCTATCGTTTTTCTCTCCCAACTCTGCTCTTTTACTTCAGCACAAAAATACACACAGGGTACTCCCAGTCTAAATTAATGGGCCCCCAAAACACTTCCTTGTGTCCTCAAGTGCTCACTTCCCCGCTGCACCGACAACCCAAGCCCCGGCTTCTGCCCCCACCCATTACTGAACTGACTCACCACGTCTACAAGAGGCCCAACATTTAGTCAGCTTCCAAAGCAGCAATTAGCTCCCTCCTTGAAAGGTGAGCAAAGGCCATCTGCAGTTTAAAGCCAACCAGCGTGGGAATGCAAGAGAAAGTCTCTCTGCCTTTGTCTTCACCAGGTCCGGCTTTCCTCCGGATCTCTCAGCTGGCATGCTTCTTTCACTTACTGTGCTTTAAAGCAGGGGCTCCAAATGTCTCCGATTTGGACGTCACTTCACACCTACTTCCTACAACATTGTCTCTCCCAGAATCATGGCTCAATAAATACAGAATGACTTCAAAGGTGAATGAATTTGATATCAGCCCCAACACACATATATTCCCATGAAATATAGGTATGTACTAAACTGATAATGGATTACATTTTTGCAATAGATGATAACATACACGAAAATACACAAACTCTTTAAAATGTCCTAAAGACTGTGATTATTCCTGTGGTGTTCTTCTCTAAAATCCATAACCCCAAATGGAATAATGAAAAAACATTAGACAATTCTACATGGAGTCTACAAAACCTGCCCCTTATCACACTATTCAAAAAATAAGATGAGATTTTAAAAAAACACAGTGGAAGTTCTAGTACCTTCTTCAGAGGAGCCCTGGTGGCATTAGTGGGTACATGTTGGGCTGCTAACCACAAGGTCAGTAATTCAAAACCACCAGCCACTCCTCAGGGAGAAAGACAAAGCTTTCGACTCCCATAAAGAGTTGTTACAGTCTCAGAAATCCACAGGGGCAGTTCCACCCCATCCTCTAAGGTTGCTAAGAGTTGGCATCAACTTGATGGCAGTACTTTCGTCTGACATCCTAATGAACATCCACCACACTGCACTTTGGACATGACTGCTATTAGATCCGAAGGCTTTCCTGTTCTACAGCTCTGCCCCGCCCCCCAGCCCCATTCTCCCCTACACGTGAGCCCATCTAGGACTCCTAGAGCTACGGACACCAAAGATACAGAGCCTGTCCTTTCCA